AAAATGGTAATAGAGATTTATATTTAGTATCTTGTCGATTTCTAAAAACCATTATCAATTTTTTATATTAGCAATCGAGAATATTTAATACTGTTGTAATAAATAGATTTTGTATTAAAAAATATTATTTTTAGAAATGCCTTGTATTGTTTTGATTATTTATATGCTAGTTTATTTTGTATGCATAATATAATAAATGACAAAATATGAAATTCAGAATAATTGTTCAGAGTTAGCAAATTTTAAAAAAGTATAATATATAAATATAAAACTTGGGCGAAGGCCGGGCAAAAGGCAAAAGCGGGCCAAAGGCCCACAAATGTAAAGGCTAGCGACGCCCTTGCCAATTCTCTATTAAAATATAAATATGATAAAGAATTTAAACTAATACACATTGCTAATAACTGGCCATTATACCATCAACGCCATATGAATTTAGTGATGACATTGATTCACAACCTTACTAAGTTACTTTGCATAATAAACTGAGAAAGTAAGTACAAATACTTAGAAATATAATTTACCTTGTATTTTTATATTTATTTTCAGAGATGCAAATGATAACCCAGACTCCATGAGAGATGAGATCGTGGAATATTTTAAGGAGCCTATGCGCCAAAATCGACAAATATTTTGAATGGTGAGCGAAGAACGTGTCATATATCCCACTTTGTCGTTAATGGCTAGGGACTATTTAACGCAACAATCTATAAGTGTTGCCAGCGAGAAGACCTTCAGCAAAGCGGTTGATTATATGACCAAAAAAGAAATAGGATGGCTTCATAAATAATGCTTATGCCTGAGTTATTGGGACGTAGATCTAATGGAATAAATGTAAATATTTATATATACTTTGTTGTGCTTGCGTTTAGACCGTATAAACACATATAATTAATTAGTCTGAATAATATTTTTTAAACCTTAAACAAGAATTTACCCCCCCCCCCCCTCTCCCTCGATCGTTAAAATTTAATAATAATTTTTTAATTCTTCTAATATATATCTTTATATTTATCTTGAAGCTTTCCGATAGAAAAAGATTTGGCAAATAAAAATGTTGTAATAATTAGAACATTATTATTTGTATTTGCATTTAATTAAAGTGGTTTATATAAATTTGAATAGTTACGTAAAAAATCTTTTTTTTTATATATAAATTTAAATATTAAAATTTGATTATGAATACGACGAGATTATATAATGTAAATTTTAGAAGTATAAATATAGCGACAAAAAAATGTAATATTAAGATAAAATTTTTATTAATTTTTAGTTTGCTTTTTAATTTTTGTTATGTTAATTTATAATTTATTTAATTACAATTAATATTATTTAATAAAGTAATTAGTATTTAATTTTAATTATTATTTTATTTGTATTCTCTAAATTCTCATATCAAACATTGTTGTCTAAACTCCTATGTACTATGATGTGCCTAAACCTTCAGTATAATTAACTCTGAAAAGAAATTCTAAATAAAGGGGGAAGGGGATGTATGAAATGACTATCGACACGATAAAGAATGAGAGCAAAGAAACAATGGTATCAATAACCAGGCAAATGGTTGTAGTTCGAAAAAGTATAGAATTAGTCGTTTTAGTCTCAAGAGATCAGGATATTTACTAGAAATTCGTCATAAGAGATCGTTATATGTACAAGTGATTATTTTAGCTAAAAGAAATTCGTTAATTTTATTAAGGATATACGTTTAACGGTGAATTAAATTGATAATATTTAGCAAAATATTAGGTTGTTGATTAACCAAAATCTTCATAAAGAGAAACGGCTTTCATCATTAGAAAATTCATGCCGCAATCGAGCTCATTTAGAGATAGGATTTTTATTTGGAATCAAAAGATACAAGAAATCGTTATCGTATAAGAGATCTTTATTACATAAAATTGGTACCGTTAGGATCGTGACAAAAGTCAGTATCGTTACAAAAGAGCATTATCGTTATAAGCTCTTTATCGTAGACATGATGAGATTAAAATGTTGCTTTCGCGAAAGATGGGGATAACTCAATGTTCAAGCTATAATCGGACACGAACGGTTTTTAGAAATTAAAAGACAGCTGTAGTTATAAATTAAAATATATTAAAGATTAAGAAGAATAGATTTGGTGGAGATACAAGGCTAAGTCGAAATCGAAAGAAAGTTGTTCATTCACAGAAGGGTGGAACCAACGTAAGTGGAAGGGTGTTGTAATAATTTGAATATTATTATTTGTATTTGCATTTAATTAAATAGTGGTTTATATAAATTTGAATAGTTACTGAAAATAGCTTTTTTTTATATATAAAGTTATAATTAAAATTTGATTAGGAATAAGACAAGATTATATGATGTAAATTTTAGTGGTATAAATATAGCGATAAAAAAATGTAGGATAAAGAATAAATTTTTGTTAACTTTAACTTTAATTTTTATTTTACTTTTTAATTTTTGTTATGTTAATTTATAATTTATTTAATTACAATTAATATTATTTAATAAAGTAATATTTATTCAATCATTACAACGCTAGAAATATGCAATTTCATCAACCAGGAGTTGTAGCTTGTACCAAGTATATTCACTAGTGTATAGATCCTATACATGATGTATACCCGTTTTATAGTGGACGGTGCCACTATGTAGTCAGCTAGCATAGTAAAAAGAGAGGAGTAAGAAAGAGGGGATCTATTAGTTCCGTTACCGGCAAGATAGTGTTAAGAAATTGTAACCAATATTAATAATAATGTACCTGACGCATGGTTAGATATTTAAGAGATGGAAAAGAAGTAATTCTTATGTTAGGTAAGTATATCCTTGGAAGATAACGTTATGTCTATATAGCGTGTCCTATTCTGGAGGTATCCAACTTCCCTGTAATTGTAATCTCAATCCCTGAAACCCATTATCCTAAAGAGCTTATTATCTTTGTCTGATTTTTTGCTTCTTTTTACATTCATTTATTTTTGTCATTCTAGAGTCAATAGTTTCCCCATAAATCCTTGTTTGTATTAAGCAAGCAATGCTATCCATAGGATTATATTTAAAAAAGAGTGGGGATTAAAGGATAGATTAGATATCAATAAGGTAATATTATTTAATTTATTTATTGTATGTTATTTATATTCTCAAAATTCTTATATCAAACAAAAAGAAAGTCGATATCTTTTTATATTATAATATTTTTATTTAGATTTTTTTATTGAAATTGTAAAATTTTAATTTATGGTTTTTAAAGATTAAAATAAATAAAATGAAAAAAAAAAAATTTCCAAGCTGATTTCTGAACACGACAAAAATTTGGGTTGTAATTTTTTTTAATAAATAGACAAACCCTGGTTCGAACCAGTTCTTGTATTTTGTTTTGAAGAAACCAATAAATTAATAAAATTCTTAAAAAGTCAGAGAACACCATTTCAGGAGAAAAATTGTTTGAGGTTCAAAAATTCAGGGAGTTTAAAAAAAAAAATTAATTAAACATCTTAATCCTCAAAATTTTCCCCCTCTTAATTACCTAATGGATTATGTTTAACATTATTTTTGAAGATTATAATTTACCATATTTAAATCAAGAAAGAGCTTAGGCAATAATAAATACGGTAATTTATATATATAACATTTTTGCAAACGGTTTTGGGTATTGTATCGAGAAATTTTTTTTTATTTCCAAACAAAGGATAGTAATATCTGGATTATCTTTCAGACATTTTTTATTGTATAAAAATCAAATTTTTGATAAATAGTGTTATCAAGTTAGCTAATAAATAGATATTTTAACAATGTACCTAATAAACATAAATATATACTAGGGTTCTGTAATGAACTAAACTCTAGTAGTAAATTCCTACTGCTTTCTAAGTCAGCTATAACATATTATATTATTGATTAATAAAAATATATATGATCATCTGAATCAGTATAATTTACTAGGTTTTGATAAAAGCTGAGTATATTTGTATTGAAAATTAAATAAATTGGTTTCGTAAATTAACTCTTGTGTTTATTTTTTAAAAATAAAAAGATATAATTGTACATGATTTACAAGGAGGTTAGTTATAGGTCCTGGACCCGAATTAAAGTTTAGAAATTAAAAAAATTTGGACAATTTGGGATCAAGGATTAAATAGAAACCGATTTAAAGGCGACCCATTAAATCTGGGGTGATATGAACTGGGAGAGGGGGTTCGGATCTCTTACAGAAAATCGGTTTCCGATTAAGCTCATTCGGGTCCAAAACCCTAATTTGGCAATCTTATAGATTTTTTTCTCCTAATATTGTACAAAAGTTAAAAATAAAATGTTAAGATCTAGACCAGCCCATTTACCCATGCGATGCTCAAAAAATCTTTTCACGACAAATATATGATTAACCATATTTATTTTTAGGTTAAACTCATATAGACCATATTAAGGTAGGATTAGACTTATTTAATACCCATCCATCATCATATTAATATTTAGTGCCGATATTCTTGACCGCCTTAGTAATTTCGTCCACCGAGAAGTGGCGCTTGGTTTGCTACCTATTCAATATATCTAATTAAGGATCGATGTATACCTCTAAAAACCATATATTTATATACTTTAATAAGGTCATAAAAAAAACTTATATTTATAGGTTCGAACCATTCTTCTGTTCTTGGGGTGCGTGCTCATAGCTAGTTTGGTCGATTTTTAGACCTAAGCACTGAATCTGGGTTATATACAACCAACCGAAAATAGTACTTATATAAGTAATCGAGATTCATAAAATTTAAGTTAATCTATTTATTAAGTTCATGTCTCAAGTTCAAAACTCCAGTCTCGACTAGAGTTCACAACTCGAGTTGTAAAAACAAGTAGATTAATCGACTCAAAACTAGACTTGAGTCGTAGTTAAGCCGACTGGGTTGAATGGTTTAACAATACTAGCTCTTTGTATTTTAAAATTAAACAACGGAAAAATAATTATGAGTTAAATAATATAATTTTCAAATTTTAAATATGGCGGCCAATATTTTTGAAGGGAGAGGATAATGGCTGCCAATATTTTTAAATGAGAAATTAATACTAGCAATTATATTTATCGCAGTCATTTCATCCAAAAAGATCGATTTTCAAATTAAACATGGCCTCCAATATTTTTGATGCCAAAAATTAAATATAAAAAACAAGTTTGTCTTTGTAATATGCAGAGGAAATTAACCGCCAGCATATTGCATGGAATAGGTTAGGTAAATAATGCACTTAAAATCATTGATTGTTGATAATGCTGTGATAAATTCCTTTTTTTATACTATTTATAAAACATTGTGAAATAAGACATTTAAATATAATTATTTTATACCAGGTCTCTACTCTACTTATTATACTCAGGAATTGGGATATAAAATAGATAATCTAAAACTATTTACACGTTATGAGGTAAAAAACAAAATTTTATTTTACTTTGAAGTTTAGTATTGTGGTTAAAGTGCGGCTATTTAATATTTACTTCAAATAATAACTTTTTATAGAAAAAATTTTGTTGTTTAATCCCAATCTCCTGTTGTGTATCAATATCCACTCTCAAACTTTAATATTTTCATTGCCTCATGTCTTGGCTTACCATAAAAAAAAACAGGGTGGAAACAGAAAAATGTAAATCAGTTTAAATTAAATATAATGTCATTATTTTGACATCTTATTATATTGACAATGTTATATATAGAAAGGTTAAAAAAATAGGTCAATATAAGTTTCTAAAATGTGTAAAAATTCAAAGGGTCAAGGAAATCTTTGGGCCATGAAAAATTTAAGGCATCACCTTAATAAAATAAGCTCAAATTTTCTTCAAGTTAAATAAAATTCTATACAATCATGTTAAAAAAATATTTTTTTGTAAATTTGAATATTATGAAACCAAAAATATAATTTAACAGAAAAAAAGTAAACTAATATTCAATTATTAAGTTTTTTATGTACAATGTTGAAAATGAATAATAAATAAACATTCAAATTTTTTTTTAAAACAAATATATATATATAAAAATTATTATTAATACTTTTTAAAAATATATTTTAAAATATAAAATGATAAACTGTAAGAATTATTGTATTTTAACTTAAATATAGTTCATTTTAGGGATTTGTATTTTATTCTTAAATTTTCTTCTGATATCTGGACAGGATTTTAAACAAGAGGATATTGATAAACAATATGCCCAAAAATTTTGTACCTCACGTAAATTTGGATCATATGGTGATTTTTATTTTGGATGTCAACGGTAAATATACATTTTACAACTTATTTATAAAATTAACTTTTTGCAGGTACATAACTTGTAAAAGTAATTCTGATCCTACTGTTATTGAATGCCCTCGAAATACTTTGTTTGACAATAAATTTCAAAAATGTGTTCAAGAACAAAATGGTAACTGCTATAAAGTTTGTGATAAGTTTGATGACTTTATTGAAGGTTAATAAGTTATTTTTTAAACATTAGAAATTAAATTATAGGTAAAACTAATACAAGATGCCAAACATTTACCAAATGCTTTGGAGGTAAACAATATGATGGCTCATGCCCTAAAGATACAGCATTCTCTAATAATATAAGAGGCTGTGTGGATAAAGAAATAATAGACACTGTAACATGCTCAGATAAATTAATAACAGTACCAGCACCTCAAACTCATTTTGCACCCAATTCAGGTGATGACACAATTGATAACACATTTGATGACATTGGAGATCAAAGTGACTCATCCGAAGCTAATTTTGAAAATTTGATTGATGATCCAGATTTTCAAGATTTATCAAATGATTAATATTATATAACTAATGTGTTTTAAAATGTTATCGAATGTTGCAATTTTTTAAAATATTACCAAATGACAATATTTTTATATTATTGCTTATTTGCTATGTAATTTAATAAAAAGTCACTTACATTCCATGCTCATATATTAAATTACAACTTGATTACGTTGATTGCATTTTTTTTAAAGTGGAGCTATCAGAAACCACTTATTAAAAATTTATTAGGGTTAGGGTAAAAACCCGAGACTATTTAAAGTTCGAGGTAATCAGTATAGTAGTATATCGTTCCTGGAGGTAAACATAAATAAATATTAAAGAAAATTAGTTTGATTCACAATTGTATATAAATATATTTGAATAGTTGGGAACCCAATTTTTCATTCTTTTATACCCCACACCCCTAGATGGAATGATATAGTTAAAAAAAGTTAAAATTATACAAATCCTTCAATCATGCTAAATTAAAATTTTTCGATATATTACGATATTTAAAAACAAATGTCTGCTGAAGAAATAGATAAAAGTTTATTGAAATCACTTTTGCAGGAAAAATTTAAATATAACCAAAAACAAATCGAATATTTGAATGTTGGTGAAAATATTTTGACAAATTTTCGAAAATTGATTACTGATCAAATAAATTGTATTGAAGTATCAATTTTCTTTTTTATCTAGTATATTACTAAAATTATAGACTAATCAACGGTTTATTATTCCACAACTGATGGAATGCATTAGAAAAGTAAAAGAATTTTTATATACCATATAATTATATTATAGGAAGAAAATTCCAAAAACAAATTACTTATTGAGTCTTCATCAACTGATAAACCTCATGAAGAAATTATCATTCCATCTTCCATTAATTCAAATAATATATTAGATAAAACTATGAACATTAAAGAGTTTTTTTGATTTCAGTATTTTATAAGAATATTTTTAAATATCATTATTTATCCTCATCAGAAAGTATTATTATATAATTTTTATTATGATTAAAATGATAATTATATATTACCAATGAATATGTCCAAAAATAGGTGACAGCTTTTGACTAGAGCAAATTTCTTTGGTTAACCAAAGTTAATGAGGCAGATAACTAGTAAAAATAGGCTTAACCATTTCTTTATTTTTTTCCTCACTATTTTAATCTCTCTTCATTGCCTCCATATATATCTTCAAATCCTTTAGAAATAAAGAGATAAAAGAAAATAGATGAGCTAAAATAAGAAGTTTAAAAATGAATTTAATAAAGAAAGAAATAAGAAGCAAAAAATAGTATGAAATTGACAATAAAAATATCTATTATTCCTTGATACAGTAATTTATAATTTAATATAATATAGATAGTAAATTTAATTAAAACTAAATGAATTTAATAAAGAAATAAATAAGAAGCAAAAAATAGTATGAAATTGACAATAAAAATACCTAGTATTCCTTGATACAGTAATTTATAATCTAATATAATATAGATAGTAAATTTAATTAAAACTTACTAGATTTATGTCATTCCAGATTTTCTTTGATATTAAAGCATTTATCAAATCATGGTTTTTTGACCACGACAAGTAGAAATCAATTTTTTTTTACCCAACCTAAGTTTTAAGAACAAATACCTACCCAACTCAATCATAAAATTAATTCCTTATTATTTCTGACTTGATAATAAATGTAAACCTAAAAAAATTTCCCTAAAATGAATTTATTATGTTAATAGATAATTTAAACTGATAAAATAATGTACAATCAAATTAAGAATTATTAATAAATTTTCTAAACTTGATACACCAAAAATGTTTTGACTTCATCCCAAAGGTCTTGAGTTTATTTTTGTATACCTCTAGAAATGCTCCTGTCTACAAATTATTGATAAAGGGCATAAAGGTCTGCAATGGGTAGGTTTTTACCCTGACTTATCATGTCTACCCATACTTTTGGTGAGTGTTATTTTCTAAAATATTATCATAAGTGGGTAATGGGTGGGTTAAAATTTTTTTGAAATAATGGGTGAGCATGGGACAGATGAATTTTTAATATTTTTCAGGCAAAATGAGCAGAGCAGACTTCAATATATTAAAAATAATAGTTTTATTTCAAAATATTGCATATGTTTAATTAAAATAAATAGCCAAACCAGCCATTAAAATTATTTTTAAATATAATCTGGTTGGTTTAAACAAAATTTATAGATAAATGGGTGGGTGGCAGGATGAATGTGAGTGGGGCAAGTTAAATTTTTTGAACAAATAGGACTAAGAGCTGGCTTGTTAAAATTATTTTTTAAAACAATGGGCGAGAGATGAATTTAAAAGGATTTTTTATTATGAGCTAAAGATCTGCATTGGTATCATTGGGCCTGGCCTGAAATTTTTTTAAAAAAAATTTGTCATAGCCTGAACTAAAATTATTTAAAAAATTTAGCTCATCTAAAACCAAATTAATAAACGTCAGAGGGGATTGAACCAGGCCTTGCATATCACTAATATGAGAAGCACGATCTAAATTTATTAAGAAGTATATTTTATGTATTCAAGTAAAAAAATAAAATAAATAAAGAGTCAAAACTAATCAATTAAATAATTATTAAGCATTGGATGGGCTGGTGAAATTTTTTCAGATAAATGGATGGGCGGGTCAATTTAAAAAAAACCATAGGCCAGGGTTGCCAAACCTGGCTTGGATTTTTGTGCAAGTCGGCTTCTAGTGCACACATATTTAGTGTTTCAAAACGCAAATAATGCATTTTTTTTTGTTTTAAATTTAGACATTTCTTATTAAAAAAAATAAAAATTAACAGTTCAATCTAAACATAGCTGCGTTTACGTTTTTTTATTTGCGTCTTTAAACGTTGCATTGAAACGTTTAATTTATGCTCACTATTACCCATTAAATTTTATGCCCGGCCTGTTATAAGTGTTTTTTTTTAAAATTTGCCTAACCTGACCCCTTATTATTTTTTAAAAAATTTGCCTTCCCTGAATCAGGCCAAGCCTGGTCAAGTTTTATGAAAAGTCCAATTTGGGCTATTAACTTTTTTTTGTACGAATTTACCAACTTATTATATTTCTTTTAATATCTTTTTTTCTAATTTTACTTTTAAAAATTTAGATAAGGTTTTTCTATTTAAAACATTTTACTTTAAGATGCTCTTCATAGGTCATGTCAATTATTTGTGGTTTTAGTATGATTTAAAAGGATAAGTGCGGCAGCTTTACTCTGATTTATTGTTGCATTTAATATAGAATGATGTATTAGCTTCAATATTTATTAATGGTATCAGATCTTCCATTTTTTTAATCAACTTGGTAGGTCTGGTACTCCTATAACAAAGAAGTTAAATAACTCCCAATTAGAGTGTAAATAATTTTAATAAAAAATATATATTAAGATTGATTTAGTGCATTTTTCAACAAATATGATAAAATATAATTTATAGACAAGACTGTCCTGGTTTGACTTTTGATACTTATTTATATTTTGCGTAAACAGCTTTTATATTAGGAGTAGGACACCCTATTTTGGGGGTATTTTTAAAGTGTTTGGTGGCTTTATTTCTGAAATTTATCGAAAGTGACAAATATGAAATAGACCAAAAATTCTGCCTTATACTTTATTACCATTTATATTAAACATTTAAAATTTTGATGGGTGACAATTTGTTTCTTTAGCTATTCTAAATATGGGTTGAAAAAATTTTTTTTCTAAAATATTTAAATCACCCATTGTAAAATAAAATTAGCAGTTTTTTTAAAAAAAAACAATTATCTCGGAGAGAATTTAAACTAAAACAAATTAATATAATATAAAAATGCAAAATAATAGGGTTATATAAAAATGTAATGTAGGATTTATGTATCTAGATACTTTAACATCTCTGACTCTAATTGGGTAAAACTAGTGTATTTATACAGCATTGAAATGACAATTTATAAAATGGTATACGAATGGTTAATTCCTGTGGAATGGGCGCTTGTCCTAAGACCAATGTGTTAACTCATGTATACAAATGTTTTTTTTTCTTCGAGTTTCAAATTTATAACAAACAACAAAATTTCATTCTTCATTATTAGAAAATAAATAATATTCTTATTTATTTGTTTATTATTAATAATTTTTTTATGTTTATATAAGGTATAAAAGAAATTTTCTGTTAAAAGAACAAAGTCGTGCATGATCTGTTTTAAAACATATAATTCGTTAGCATAATAAGATTAAAAATATTTATTATGATTATAAATATAAATTACTAATTTTCTTTATGGAAATAAATATAAAATATACAAGTAACAAAATTCATTTTCAGCTAGCATTCGATTCTCGCAGCTTGATATCAGCTTTTCGGCTTTTTAAAATGTTTTTGATATAGAACTCTCCTGCGAAAAAATAATATATATGTGGTTAAACAAATAAATTTTTTTAGTGTTTTATATTTATAAATCTTAATCTAGAACAGCAATGCAACAATTTTTTTTCCCTATTTCAAATTTCATTGTAAGTCTCCATATATTTTTCGGGTAGAGCTAAAAGGTGTGCTGTTTCCAAAAAAATCTTTCTCGAAGATGTATTTTAATTAACTTCTTAGTGAACTGCTAAGAAGGTACATATAATATCAAGACTAAAATAAACTAAGCAGGGCCAACCTTAGCTCTTATTTTTTTGCGGCATTACATATAACATGTAAAAATATATATTTTTTTACCGGCTTTGTAAGAGGATCTAACGAGTGGACCGCTGGCAACGTATAAAAATCCCATCTTCAGCCCAACCTCTTCCCAATATTTAAACTTTTCCGGCGTAACATATTCTTTTACCTGTAAATGGGATGTTCAAAACAAAAATTATAAAATTTTTATAAAAGTTTGTCAAAAAATTTTCTTTAAAAATTTATTTTAGTAATTAGGATTAACTTTTAGGTGTCTTTTAGTAGGCTGCATATATTGTCCCAGGGTTAGGCAATCAACATTAATTCGTCTCAAATCTATTTAAGATAAGGGGGGGGGAGGTGGGAGATAAGAAAATATATAAAAATGTGACAATACAAGATTTAAAAAATAATAATTACCATTCAAAGGCTTCACAAACATATTGTAATATAAAATTGGTATTTTAGAATCATGATCCTAGCTAGCTAGATTGATGTTTTATAAAAAAAATTGTCTATTAGTTAGCACAAACGAACTCTTAAAATAAAATTAATTCCCATTTTGGAAAAATAAACAATAACAACAATTAGAATTCATTATTTTAATGGAATTCGCTTTTTTTTAAAACTCTTCCATACATATTAAAACCTCCATAAGGTGACTGGGGTGAGAAGAGGGAGATGGTCAAGATATAAAACATTTTGGTGAGGATTTATGATAGAATTTTTAAATAAATTACCTTGCAAAGTTTTTAATATTTCATCGTCTCTTTCACCGAGACCTAACATTAAAGAGGTTTTGGTGATTATATCCGAATGAGGTGAATATGATTTTGCTTTTTCTAAAACAGACAGAGATTGTTTGTAATTAGCTCTGGGGTCTCTGACAAATCTAAGCATTATTTTTTTTTTCAAAAAAAAATATAAGTCCTCTAGAAAAAATGGGTTTTTTAAGGCCCGGCCCGAATATTTAAAAAAAAATTAAAAAAATTTTTTTTTAAGGCCCGACTGGGAATTTTTAAAAATTATAATCGACCTGGTATATTCAAAAAATTCATTATTTCGTATTTTATCATATTTTACGGCGAGTATTATCATTTAATAAGCAAGTATATTAGCTAATGTTGTTAAACGGCTCGTTTTGTGCCGATTTTTAAAAATAGCTAACTCAATATTTTTGCCAGAAAAATATTGACTAAGCCTCGAAATTTCGAAACTATATGTCTAGACCTTTGCTCTTTCTATGAGCAAAATTTTCAGGCTTGCATAATATTTTTCTGGAAAAAACTTAGTTAGCCATTTTTAAAAATCGGCCCAAAATGAGCCGTTTAACAACACTAAATTTTTTTTTTATATTCTAAACAGATATTTAGTATATTACAAATACTATGAATTTATAAAAAAAAATAAAAGTGATATTTTTAATAAAAAATATAACATATATAATATAATAATGTATTTAATCCTTTGCGTATTTATTCCATCGCAGGAAAACTTTAATTTTATTATGTAATAGATACTATGAGTGTTAGTTAGTGTTAACTTTCACCAAACATTATATTAATCATAACTATATATAATCATTATAACCATATCTAATTGACGAATATAATAATTCATGTTGTATAAATTTTTTAAAAAATACCCGGGCAGCCCAGGTATATTTTAAAAATTTAAAATACCGCCCGGCCCTGGTACCCGGACCGGGCTTAGGGCCGGGCCTGCAGGTCTCTGATATATATATAGTATAGGGGATCAACAGCTGGGATAGACGCATTCTGCTTGAATCGTCATTAAAAAAGTTGAAAGCTAGGATAATTTTTTTTTAACCTATTAATTATTTTATTTTTGCGCAATTTGTATATTATTTACTTTATTAATAATATTTAATATACAATATAATTAAGAAAAATTGTAAAAATAAATTAATTTGAAAATTCTGGCGACAATAAAAAAAGTAAAAGAATTATAGTATTGAATTATTTTATTACATCGCGAAAAAAAATATAAGAGTTGAAAATATGTGAAGAGTAATTTTTTTCCAAATTATTTAACCGAACCTGGGCTATGTTACATTTTTTTATTGTAGAGAGGATTTTAATTCCTTTTTAAAATAATTTTTCTCTATTAACATATCATCAAAATATAATAGGCATTTATTGTTTATTGAATAATGTTAATAAAGTAAATTATATATACAATTTGCGCAAAAATAAATTAATTATTTCGATTAAACTTATAACAAGACGATAATATCCTTGAAATACAAAGAAAAAAAAATAAATTCCCCATTATCACTCAAAATCTTTATCGATATTAATCTAAATTGCAACCTTAAATATATGAGTCGTCGATAGACACTGGATAATAATTTAACAATATTCTAAATGGGATCAGAGGGGAAACTGGCTTACCCGCGGGTAAACCTGAAAAATTGAGAATAAACGATAAAGAAGATACTCTATATTTTTTTGGTGTATATATTGTGATTTGGGAAAAAGTGAAATTTAAAAAAATTTGGGAAAATGTGGGATTTGGGAATATCCAACCGAATTTGGTTTTTTTTTATTGAACTGTTTAAAAACAAATACGATATTTCAAACGAAATCGTAAAAATTATAAGCACTGAATGTGTGTCCTGGTTAGAACTTATTATTAAACAGCCGGCTATATATCTTCAACTAAACAGCCTAAAAAAGTGAAATAAAAAAAACCAAACAAACCAAAATAGGGTGTCCTAGTTCATAATTTTTAGAAAATTTTAAATGTTATTTTTTTGAAAAGAATTTATTTTTTGTCATTTAGATTTTCCCTTTCTCTTCTGTTAAATATTTCGACTTTTAATCACGAGACGAGATGAAATCAGGAAATTAAAACAAAAGAGTATAATATTTATTTTATTATTTTTTTTAAAAAAAGTGAAACTTTTGTAATGGTTCTACCGTTTCCATATTGTGAGCAAAAACGTCCAAGTTAGAGTCCAGGACAGTTTTTATGCAATTGTCATCTCCCTTAAAATCGGGTAGGAGACATTCTATTAGTAAAGACGGTTTTCTCGTTTACGATAAAATAAAAAAAAATATAATAAACAATAAATATAAAAACGTAAACCTATAGAATTATGGTATTGATTGATGGTTATGAGGGTTAGCGTAAAGAATATTGTAATAGGGGGGGGGGGTAGATGTTGGGATATGTGTAGAAATTTAGGTATAATAAATACATTAAATTTTATAATATAAAAAGAGTGCTGCGTTTTGGTGCATGGAATAAAAATGCTTTCCATATTGAAATAACTAAATTTTGTTTTAATGATAATTAATGAAGAACAGTTACATATTTCTTTTTTTATTCCCAGTGGAATGATTATTGTAGCTGGTCAAGTGAGGTTCGCTACTTTTTTTTAAAAATACTTTCAGTTATATTTATTTTTAGTAATAAATTATTAATAGAAGGGAAATATTTTTAAAAAATAATTAAATGTGCGCGGCCAATCCACTTTTAAAAGCAACCTTAAAATAGATTTACGGATATAAAATATTTTCTGAAATTATTTAAAAAAAAGAATTTATTGATAAATTATTATAATAAATTTATTTTCCCGGCGGATAAAATAATATAAAAGTCGTTTCTGGACTATATTTTTTTTTGACAAAAATACTATGTGTTTTAAGCTAGGAGATTAAAGTGTTAAGTTTACTGATAAGGAAAACAATGTAATTTCCTTTTGAAATACAGTACAAAATATTAAAATTTTATAAATGAGTAATATCTATGTTTTTTTGAGTATATTGTTGTTGGATTTTAATTTTTTTATTCCTCCCTTCAATTGAAATTTGATTACTCCAAAATAAGTTTATATTCTTTTTAAAAGATTAAAATCCCGATCTGCAAGTGTGGTTGGTTGTTGGAACCAAAGTTAAGCTAAGTTTTTATTTGGCTTTCTTTCTTCAGTTTGTAAATTAATGAATTATATAAGTATGCAATATAAGAGTGGATCATTTGTAAAATCTTTACAATTCAATTTCGAGGAAAAGGAAAAATCGATAAATAAAATAATATCCTCTCAAAAAAATAAAAGTAAGGCCTCATTTATAGTAAACACGTTTTGTTTAAGGGGTGCGGTATTTAACGCTTTAGAAATCACAGCTGATTCCTCATAGCGATAATAATTTTTGAAATATACGTTCGCAACATGTTTGTTTTTCTCATATTTGATCATAGCGTACCTATTTATTAGCTTAATTTTGTAAATACCGCACCGTTTGAATAAAATACGTGTACTATAAATGAGGCGCAATATAAATTTGCCATCTTATATTAAGATCGGTTTCATTCATATACCCTTTCAGGGCTAACTGTTTATTTTATCGATCAGATTTTAAAACTAAACTTATGATAACATAGGGGTGCACCGATACCACTTTTTGGAGGCCGATCAGATCTGATATTAAGATATAGGACGATTACCGATAGGATATGTCTGATTTTGTATTTTTTGAATATAATAATCGTTATAATTTTTAATGCATACAATCTACTCATCTCAATTACTTTTTAATGGTATAGGATCTACAATTTAACTATAACCATAACATAAGCCATTTAAATATATTATAATGATCAGTTAGTCTATATTCATGAATCTAAAAGCATATAAAAATATTATTGATAAATCATTTATTTATATAATAACGTTAATCTATTTACAAAATAAGTAATAAACAAATATATTATGATTTGAAATAATTTTTTTTTAAAATTAAGAAGCAATTTTATCGGATCGGAAAATTTTACAATATCGGCAGACAACCAATATTTTTAAAAAAGTGAAATATCAGTCCGATCCGATAAAAAATGTAGGTAAGCCCCTAAATATTAGAACTAAATACAAATAGTAAATTGTATTATTTGTAAATTAATCGATTCGTATTTAAATAGACCTACATTAAGCCAATAGTTTAACATAGTGGCTTTTGCTGAATACATTTAGCTATAGATTACCTCATACAACAAAAATTATGTTAGAGGTATATTCCTTTTAAATTTAACATTCTAGTCTTTTTGACACATATAAACTACAAAAAAATATTCTAAATACTTGCAATTTGGCAGAATGTTTTAATTTTTGGAAATATTTTAAAGCAATTACACATTAAACATTTTCCACATGATATTATATAATGGGTTGTTATTTATATGTTAAATAAACCTATATTATATAAGCAATCATGGGTTGTAGCATTTTGGTCAAGAATAATAATGAGGTAGACAATATGTGAAATACCTTAATAGGATTTCGAGACCTAAAGGAATAGATAAACAGGTAATCGCCATTGGAAGTCTTAATATATTTTGGATATTACTGTAAAGACAATTTGAAAAAAGAAATATAAAATTATGAAAATAGTTTTTTATTTTTGTTAGTTAATTAATAAGGTTGTAGAGATATTTTTTTATTTGATTGGAGCGAATTTTCTTTTAAAATATCGGTTATCGGCTAATATTATTAAATTTACACATTAAATCCGATAAAATGGCGTCTTAATTTAAATTTAACAATATTTAGGAAAATAAATTTATGTGAAAATTAAAAGCATTCTCATAAATTAAGTGATTTTTTTTAAAAAAAAAACAACTAAATAATTCAAAATATTTTAAAATTATAATATACATAATTTATTTTTAAAAGAATGTATAAATTAAAACACATTAAATATTTATAAAGAACAGAATCAGATGTCTGATCGGTAATGAGCCACTATAAATTTATTATTGGCTATATCGTATCAAATCAGTCTCCAAAAAAGTGGTATTGGTACACCCCTCGCTTATTCGTTTAAAAAAATGGTTCAAACTTAAGTTTATCTTTATTTAGTTGTATAAATGATAATAATTAATGAGTACATAATTTTATCCAAGTGGTATGATATGACAATAATAAAAAATGTTAATGTTTGAATTTTAATACTTACTTGATTTTTAAAAGTTTGACTGTATTGGCAATATGATTAGATCCAAAATCTGCTAAATCTGCATATTATTTACATATACAAAAAAAAATTATTTTTTTAAAAATATAATTTTAAGTTCTATTTATGTTTTCTGGGAAAAATTTCCTTATTCTGCTTAATAAATATTGATATGGCATTCCCTTATTATTAATATATTTGTATTTATAATATTATTATTTTAAAAAAAGTTACCATCTCTATCAACTGATGTTATGACTATATATTCAACATTTAAATGCTGTATTGCTAAGGCTGTATTCAATGGTTCATTGGGATCAGGAGGACTAGGATTTTTTGAGGTTTTTACTGAGCAAAACCGACAACCTCTTGTACACGTGTCTCCTAATAGCTAATGAGAAAAATGTATTTTTTTAAAAAATGAGTATTTAATAATAATAATTATTGTCACTTTTGGTTATTATATGAATGTATATGTCATATTAGGAATTCATCATTTATAATAAGGGCAATTTTAAATTTGAAAAATCTGATTTGACAAAATGTGTTCTAAAATATATAGAGTAACTCATACACATGATGTGAGTTCAAGACTGCTTAAAACTTGGGCCAGGCTGGGCAATTTATACTTAATATATTTGGCAGGGTATATTGATAGGCCAGCTCTGGCATTAAAAATTTGACAAATTTATTTGAATTTCAGGCTAATTTTTGATTTATCAATTTGAAAATAAATTACAATAGGCATATTTCATTATATTTTAAGAGCTGTCTAAATGATATAATAAATCTATAAATAATATAGTAAATTTTTTTTTGAATTCATAAATAATTAAACAATTCATTTATATGATCTAATTATAATGCACAATATTGATATCAAACAAAATTTATTTATAAAATAGTAATTGCAGAAATAAATAGCCATAAGATTCTTATTGAGAAAAAATTAGATACAGATTAAAAATATGAGTCTAAAAAAGATTAAAAAAAAATATAAAAGGCTGGGGAGAACTTCATATAAAACTTTAATTGATGCTTCATTTTTTTGGAAAAATTTTACAGGCTGGGTAAGGGAAATTATAAAAAAATTATAACAGGCCAGGCCTGGCAAAAAATTTAACTGGCCAGAAGAAATTTGCAGACCTTGAATCCCAATACAATTTAGATATAATTATATTTTTTACAAAAAATTTGAGCCAGAAGAAATATGCAGACATCGAATCCAATATAACATGAACCCCAATACAACATAGATATAAATTTTTTCCTATTAATAACAATAAATGAGCAGAGAAGCAACCAAAATTCAATTCATTTGCAATTTTATTTAAAAAATAAAATTATGTAAAATGTGATATAATATTGTTTTAAACAAAGAAAAATATTTACTAAGACAGTCATATTTAGCTAGTGTTATTAAACAGCCGATGAAGTAATATTATGTAAGCCTGTAGATTTTGCTCATAAGTGGCAGAAAGGGTTGCCCCTCTATTTACAAATTGAGATAATATTATTTTAAATAAAATTTAATTCAGGTCATTTTTTTTAAATAAAGGCTATAATTAGTGATAAATATCCCATATTTTAAATGACAATTAACTTTTGGGGAATAATATACTGAATAGTCTTAATCATGGAGCAAAAAAAATTGAAATATATCTTGTCTTGATAATAGTTTAATTATTAATCACAAAAAAATAATTATTTTATTAAATTATTTCAAAGATAAAGGCAAATAAAAATCAATATAAACATTGGGCTAGTACCAATTATGAATTGTTTTTGCACAAATATTGAATAATATAGGATCAATAAAATATAATTGAACCTGTATAGCCATAATAAAAAATATTAATTACCATGATAGTAAATGTAGATATAGAATCTTCCCCACCTCCCCAGCATTCTCCTATATTTGGACATTTTGCTTCTTCACAAACAGTGTGTAAATTTAAAGATCGTAAGCTTTGTTTTAGTTCTGAAAATTTTTTACCAGTAGGTATATTTGTTTTAACCCATGTTGGCAGTCTAAATTTCTTTATTATTTAAAAATACTATTAGTAACCTTAATCTAGAACTAGATGGTTGAGATGGTAAAATATTTTGACTAGTATTTGAGTTTTCTGCTAAGAAATCTTGAAATGAAGGTCCATTTTGTAGCTTATCGATCCAAGCTGTATTTGATGCATTCCGCTTGGATAAAAAATTCTTATGCAGTTTATTAATATAGAAATTGGCTATTAATTCACTTACATGGAACTTGAACATATTTAGGAAAATTTTGAAAACCAATCGAATTTGCAAACATCTGATATAAATTGATTGACATGTCGCAGCCTCATATATGAATTTTATTATGTAATTTAGAAAAACAGAAGTTTTTTTTAAAGTATCGAAAACTTTTATTTATTTAAAAAAATATATATTAAGCCATAACATAATATATCTATATAAAATTTAATATTAAAATACTATATCTATAATAAATATAAAAATATATAATTAAAAGAAGGGGAAGAAAAAATAATTTAAAAAAAAGAAAATTTATATCATGGTCGGCAGGGCTTAATGACCCATGTATGGATATGCAGTTGAAACAACAGATTTCAATTGATATTCTTTGTCGAAGGTAGAAGTCTTCTTTTGAATAACCTGTGATTAAACGTAACCTTTGACTTAAAGTTTTGAATATTCTTAAGGCTTGGGGTCCAAATGATCCAAAGGTGTCTTAAACTACAAGAGTCAGAAAAACAGAAGCTGCAGCGAGGCCTGGACCATATATAAATTTCAGGTGTCCATTAATCATTAAAAAATGATATTTGAAGCATTTATCCATGAAAAACATATGTTGGTATCAAAACATAATAATGAATGATTATGATTTATTAAATCGATAATAATGTGGTTTGTTAAGGATTATTGTGGTTTTATACTAGCCTTTTTGACATGGTAATATTTATATCTAACAATTAATTTTACATTTTTTTTACAAAGGAATTTGATAATGTATGCTGAATTTGTTGTAATTTATGTTTTATTATGGTCTCAGCCATGGACAGCATTTAAGATAATTAATATATTATTCTTCCAAACCACTATAACCTTGGCATTTATATCTCACCTGCGCTCCATGTTAACAGATCCAGTAAGTGAATAATAATTTAACAGGCTTTTATAAGCCTAGAATTGTTTTAATTCTCTAAACTTTTATTTAATAAAATTTTTAAGATTACCATTTTGCTGATAAAATTTTATTTATTTCACTAAATATTTACCTATATTTGTCTATATATTTTTGAATTTTGAGCATGTATGATACTATATTTTTTCCATGTTATGATAAAACCAATGAATAAATTTAAAAAAAAAATCCTCCAACTTTTGCATCTCAGGTAAAATATTTATAGGCTTGCCTATAGGAGTAACTAGAGCTTCATTTTTAGCTAGACATGCTTTATTCTTTCATATGTCCATAATCTATATTTTATATATATTATTTTTACTAAGAATTGTCTTATTTTTGTATTATATTTATAAGGGAACAATCAAGCTTAAGTTACTTCCTTACAATTCAAATCCTCTTAAATCTAAAGGGAGCCATAATTACTTTTATCACTATTCTGACCCTGATATTAAGAAACTAAATAAATACAGTGATACCAGTCTAGATGAAACTAAATTGAGTTTGATGACGGAATACCAAGAAGAGAATGCACAATATTATCCAATACCCAGACAAGATGACCAAAATATCCAAAAATCACTGTTGGGACATTCCTCTAACCATGAAAATTATCTTGGTCATTATGTTAAGGAATCAATATGCCACTTTGACTCAGATGATTCAGAAAACAATACTGAAATGATTATGTCTTCACAAGATGGAAATATCGAGATGAATATGGATAACGGGGATAAAGCTTTAAGGAGAAAACCAGTGTTTAGATGTCTCAAATGTTTCTCACTTAAACCAGAGAGGGCTCATCATTGCAGGTTATAACCACCTCTGGTGACTAAAATTCATAATTTGTATAGTAACAAATTTTGACAGATCCTTTTTAAATTTTTTTACATATATTTATTTTAAAACAAAAACATATATTGGATCATTAGCACATGTAAGAAGTGTATCTACAAAATGGATCACCATTGTCCATGGATCAATAATTGCGTTGGTGAAAACAATCAGAAATTTTTTGTTTTATTTAACGTAAATTACATAATTCTATTTACTCTAAATTTATATACTATATACTAGAGGCCCACAACTTGACACTGAACAGCCCAAAAGTGGTAGGATTTTTAAATACAGACTGGACCGATTAAAATAAAATAAATGTAAATAATCAGTTGGAAAATAATATTTTCAATCCGCCTTTTGAAACCATTTTCAAAATACATGCTAAAATTATATTAATGTTAATTTTTTCTTATGAATATAAGGCTACTATGAAAAATCTTCAAATATAAAATCCCGAGATGGGCCAAATTTGGAAGGGGGAGGTGGGGACTTCTTGAATTTTTTTTAAACCAATACTGGGCTTGGAATTTTTTTCTTTTTCTTCAAATTAGGGCCTGGTCTGAATCTCTTAGGTCTCTCCTAGAATGTTGTTAAGCCTTTAGATTTCATTAATACATATCCAAACCTTTCTGCCATCTATGAGAAAAATCTCGAAACTCGCGAAATATCTTTTGGCTAAAATATTTGTATAGCACGTTATTAAAAATCAAGCCTGATATACACTATTCAATATATTTTCTTTTTGTAAACAATGGTTTAAAAATATTTTAATTTTTTTTGGACAAATTTTCACCTTCTTAATCAGGGTTGGGCACTAGCTGACTATAAAAGTGCTACTTTTTTCCCCTGGCAACTATGGCTGTAGTTTAGCTACTTTTTTTAAAATCAAGTTGTTTATAGTCCGCTAACTTTCAAAAAATATATATACTACAGATAGCTACTTTTTAACATAATGTAAATCATTCATATTTAGAAGACATACATTGCATTCGAAAGCAATTCTTAATTTTTAAGTTTTACAAAGGTTGCGACTTAAAAGTGTTTTCAGTCATTTATGTCTTAACTTAATCTGTCATCAGACTGAAGCCGCCAATGTTCTAGCTTAATCGGTCATCAGACTGAAGCAGCCATTTATGTCCTAGCCTCTAAATATAAAGTTTAAAACATGAATTGATCATTTTTTTTGGCTAAGAAGATTTAATTGTAAAAAAAAACGAATCCTAATAAAAGCATTAAGATTGAACTAGAAAGTATTAACCTATTTTAAAGAAAAAAAATATGCAGAACAATTTTCTTTCCATGTTAAATAAAAAAAAAAATTTAAACAGTACATTGCTATGCTATTCAGCACTGGTGAGGTGCTTATTTAGTTTTGATTCTTTAATGAATTGATTTAGGAAAAAATAAGTAACGATATTTTTAAAATTTTTATAACTTAAAAAAAAATGAATATATATATTTTTATATGTTATTTTTTGGACTAATAAAGAAGTAAAAATAAACTTTATATCTGGTGTTCAATAGTTTGAAAAAAAATCTTCAAAATCTTTTAAGATTTAAAGAATATTATTGATCAAATTTTACCTAAAAATGCCAAAATATATTTTTTTAAATTTGTTCAAAAAAAAAGGGTAGAAAAGTAAGTATTTTTTTTATGGTTCCTTATAATTTTTTTAAAATATATATTTTGGTAAATGAAGGGATGTTTTCAGAGCATAAAAAAAATATATTAGGAATTTTAAGGTCGGTCAACCAAGTTCAAAATATCCCGCCTATCACGATATAAAAAAATGATTTACACCTATCACAAATCTTCTATAATTATAGCTTTTGTAACCCTAATTTCTTAAATTTTTGTATCTAGAACTAAGCTACATCTTTTAATGTAACTTTTTTGAGAGCTTCATGTAGTCAGCTGCAATTTTACTATAGCTATTTATGCCCATCTTTGATATTTATTCATAATTTCCCGAGTCTAACGGCAATCTATGCTATGCCTATTTTATTTTAACCATTAAGATAGTTAGTAAGAATCATATTTCATTTACTAGCGTAATTCGTTTATTATCGATTTTTAAAAATAGGCTTAGTATAGGTTGATTGGAAACGAGCACACATTCCAGTAACCTATAAAATCAATGTTTTGTTATTTATTTTACATCTTTCCCAATTTCTCGATTATAATTAATCCTTATTTATTTATACAACTATAAATAGCTCTACATATTATTATCCGGGGTTCATGCTCTATTTCTATCGGGTCACCACACTTATTTGTGTTTGAAATCCGAATGGCAAGGTTAAAAAAATATATAAATTTTTTTTTATTTGAACACTATTACATTGTTAAATACATATTATTTATAACTTTATTTTTTTTCTTTTCAAACTCATGTTAATTTGCAAAAAGTACTAAGTATTTTTAATTTTTATCGCAAATTAATGATTCTAAACGAGTTTAAGTGAGAACTCCGCTACAAAGATATAAAAATAAGAGTGAAATAATTATAAGATATTTTCTCGTTCAAACCTAATACCACCTACGTTCATTAATCTTTGTTTTCTCTGCCTATAAATTTATAATTATCCTTTATACATATTACATATCAGAGACCTACGGTAGATCAAGAAAAGTACAATTTTTGGGCTCCACGCTTTTTTAAAAATCCGACTTTTATTTTAATATTTTTCTGGCTAGGGTATTAGTTTTTACAATTTTGATTATTTTCAGTTTTTAAAATTTTGATTATTTTATTGCCCGACCCCACAGGTTTATAAAATTTTTTCAATTTTAACTTAATTTTTGAAAAAATTTATTTTACAAAATTTGGTCCAGACCGAGTTTGTATATTTTATTTTGTAACCCTCTACCCGGATGGCTTGTAGGTGTCAATTACATGTAATGGATTTTTAAAAAAAATATGAATGAGGATGTTTTCATAATGGAGACGGACATCCGGTCAATAATCTGTCAATTTCATTTAAAATAATATTATAAATGTTAAGAGTAGCATACTCCGATCCATTTCTGAGAAATATCCGATAACATTAATGATTGACTTTTGACAGACCGGACGTCCGTCTCCACTATGAAAGCAGCCCCAAGGTTTTTATAATAATTTATGATCAGGCAATTTTTAAAATTGGTCTTTTTATCGTTCGGGATAGATGCTTATCTAATTGCAAAGTATTAAAAAATCTTGTTCATTATTATTGTTTTTATTTAGAATGCACACATTCGTTCGAACCTCCTACTGCCTTTTTGCTCATAATATTTTTGACCTTCGAATCTTTGCTATTTTCCATATTTTGTTCGGTTATGACTGGCATGCAAATACATCGGATATTGACGGATACCACCGTTTTATATTAATATTTATTATACACTTTTACTATACACACATATTACTCAATATTAACTTCAAGTTTTTAGTTAGGCAGACTGGTTTATTTTATTATGCATTTAAGTTTATGTCATTTTTATTATTTCCCTCTATAGATTTAAAACAACCCTTTTCCATATTACATATATTAATTTTACAATACTTAAGGTGTATAAAATTATAAAATCGATCAAATCAAATTTAAATTTAAATGGTTAAATATTAATAATAATTATTTAATGATAACTTTAAACTTTAATAATAATATAAATAAACGTCATGGTTGAAAAAGAGTTTAAAATAATATAAATATTCTAATCTTATTGGCAAAATATAATTTAAAAAAAAAAGAAAATAAAATTTTATGGATTATATTTATGGTAGTCTTTAAAAATCGCCTCGGTCTCGAGATTGAGCCAATTTTGTTGTCAATTTCGATGCGGAGTCGATTTTTTTTGGATAAAATACTTGGCTAAAACGCGAGGATTTCAATTTGATAGATTACGAAGACTAAATCTTTTTAAAGGAATCTATATATCATAGTTTATAAGTTTTCTAGAAAAATGACAATTTTTATCTCGTTAAAGGAATCATATTGTCTCCAACGAATTCCATAATGCCAAATATCATGAATAATCCAAGTGAAGGGCTCAGCACCTTGATGTATAAAACGACATAAAAATTCATTTATAAAACTTCGTTTTCCCCAAACCAGTCTTTTGCGATAGTAACTCTGATCCATATTTTTTTTATGAGTAATAGATAAAAATGTAAATAAGACTAGAGATCTGCATCGTAATTTTTTTCGCCGCCAGATCCAAGATTTAAACATTTGTCTGAGCGCGAGCACACATTTTTTGATCAAACCCGGCTAAAATTTTTTGGTAATAAGTGTATATATTATAATATCTAAGAAACAAATAAAATTTATATGTATTTATTCACTTATTGTCGCCTTAAATAAAAGTATAAACCACCATAATCTAATCAATATTCATATAAAGTTGCATTTTATTTAATTTATCATATAAATTTTATTCAGTTTAAATATAAAAAGTAAAGCTAAAAATACAATCGAATTTAAAATTATTGGGATTACATAAAAATAATTTCCATGATTGATTTCGAAGAGTTGATATAATTGTTTATATAGAGAAAAAATTTCTAATATATAATAAATATCAGTTATTCTGAATGACATTTTTGTGAAACAAAAGTTATTTTGTAGTATTAAGGATTAGTTTTATTTTTAATATTTATTTATCGGGTCAGACACATCTTACAACCCACCCGAGTTAAAATTCGGACTCGGGTGGGTTTAGGACAGCCCGTGCAGACTATGCGGAACCAACTAGAAACTGGGAAGGGCTCTGTAAATATTTGTATAATTAAAAAAAATTAATGTGCGATGGAGACCCAACCTCACTTTTTAATTTAATTTTCAAGGCGATAGAAGCTCTTAAAAAACACGGTACACCGAATTACGGCCATCACCCACCCGATGGTAATGGTGATTACGTCATCAATTTTGAAAACATAGATAGTTTTGATAACCGAGACAACTTTGATAATTATGACTCGTCGACGAAAGTAAACTATTCTAGCAAGCGTTACAAGACGGAACAACTGAGAAAGATGGTTGGCGGTAAAAAGAAAGCCATCTTATTCAACTTGAGCGAAGTTTTCGGTGACAAGATATCTTACAATTGGTTATCGCCATTCCATAGTCCCGTATTTAGAGCTCGTAATATATTTGCTAGTCGTCAAACGTTTCAAGCCTAAAGTAATAACTCCTTCAAAAAAAAATACTACCTGTTTTTTTAAGTTGTTGAAAGTTATTCTTAAAAATTATCGAATGTTTTTTTTGGTGTATGTAAAACTCCATATTTTTTTTTAAAAAATAATCTTATAATCTCAAGCCAAATTGTACTAACATTTATTTATATATTAACGCTTATTTCTTTTCTCACGAATAATTTGGAATAATTTTTTTATAAAACCGGTTTTAGATTCATAAACCGTGAATTGACTTTTAAATGATTATTTTTTGCTTAAAAAATTTAATATTTTGCAATATACAATAAATTAAAGCCAATGTTTTGGTTATATGCCAGCTAAAAGATTTTTTGTAAAAAAATATAAATTCATTATGCAAATTATGATTGTAAATTGTGAGTTAGACTTAATTTATTAATTTTTGCCACTTGAATAATGAAAACTTAATGATTTCTTTCGCCAAATTGTTTTATTTTTGTGTACGCGAAATGTAAAAAAAATCATTTAAATCATTGACAATTTTTATTTCATACATAATATTTTTTTTTATACAATTTTAATTTATATTTATAAAAAAAATCAGATTTGTTTAGATATACTAAAAATCGTTTTATTTACAAGGCATATAAAATTTTATATTTTTTGACCAACAATTCATGCCTATTGTTTAGGTTTTCAAAGTTTTATTTATAATAAATATGTATGTTAATCTTAATCAAGATAGAAAATGTAGTTTAAAGAATTATTTGTAATGAACAAAACGTTTTGCACACTATGTAAAATCAATTAATGCTATTATTATATTATTTTTTTTAAATATAATTTTGCAATCCATATTTTATAATCGTTTATTATCCTTGCTAATATTTTTTGGGAATGATTGCTAATTTAGCATCATGCGATTTCAAATAATAAAAAAAAAATTGTTGAATAATTTATATATATAAATTTTTTTTTTCGGAAACAAAAATAAAATATCACGTGTCTTCCATTTTTAAAATGGTGGTATTGAAGAAACCTATAAACATGTATGGTAATCAAATGCCATAAAATACTCTATGAATCTATATTTTGAGGCGTCGAATTGAAATAAGGTGGTGAAATGCCATTTTTGGTTTCGTATAATAAAAAATTATTTAAAATAAACCCAACTTGAGACATAATAATGGCGATATTAAAAAAATTTGCAATAAAATATTGGTAGATTATATTTTCCGTAAGGATTGTAAATTATATGCCATTAATAGAGTAGTATAGCGTAGGATGACTATAATTAAATTAAATCGAGGGGAAATTTAAATAAGAATCACGTGATTTCTTGGTGTTCTTTATTGGGCTTTTCGAATCTCTTACTAAATTTAATATTAGGTGTTTTTATAAGTCGAGTCAACCGACCCGATCGCCTCTATTGGAGTTTTTGACGCGTCAATTCGAGGTAACTTTTTACCGTTAAATAGCCTCTAAATGAGTCAGGATTAGACCTGTGCGCCGCCGGTATTTTTATTCAGGCGGCGGCGCGGCGTGTGTAATTTTTAAAAAGCATATTAATATATTTATATATTAAATTATTATTATTTTAATTTAAATACTAACATTAATAAAATTAAAATATGAATTGTATTATATTGCTATATATAATAGACTAGTGTATATCATTTACATTCATTCATACATCATATTTTATTTCCACAAACAATTCATATTAATTATTTTTATGGACTTGCACGTTTTAAACCACCCTATATACAATTATGAAATAACAACTCTCTCTACAAATCATAAATCAAGTTATATCTAGAGGTACTTTGGAAATCTTATTTTAAATGAAAATAAGAAAAGCACAATAATGCCTGATTATATTTATTGTGAACCTTGTTTAAATTGGCGAAAAAAGATGAGGAAGATTCGAATAAATATAATTCATTTTCACAGTAATTTATTTTATTTACTTATATTTATTTTATATTTTAGTTATGAAATAAAATGTTTTAGTAAAAATATAAGTACAAGTAATCTATCTAGGCATTTAATTAAAAATCACAAACTATCAGAAAAAATTAATAATAATAAATCCATTCAATGTCTAAAAATTTTTAAAATAAACAGCAAGATGCAGCAACAATATAAAAAATAAAAAATGGCTCTTATGTTAGTATTATAGTTTATTATTATTCATTAAAAAATTTTAATTGGTTTGTATAATTAATTTTATTAAACTTTATTTTGAAAGTTCAAAACTAAATTTTTAGTTTATTTATTGCCAGCTCTATTTTGAGATCTTTTTAATATATAATTTATTAAATTAATTATGTAAAACTTTATTTTGAAAATTAAAACTAAATCTAATTTATAATTTGTTTAATTCCAGCTCTAATTATTTTTATGTTTTTTAAATATCTTTTAAATGTTTAAAATAAATATGAAATCTTATAGGGGGAAATTATGTTTTGATGTGCTGCTTAGATTTAATGCCATTTGATTCTATAAACAATAAAGAAATGACAGATTTTCTAAAGGTTTAAAATTTATATAAAATGACTATTAAAAAATAAATTGCCTAAAAAATAGAAATATAAGATAATTGATTCCTCGTCAGAATTGCCAAATAGGACAACCATTAGTCAGGGTGCGCTAGACGATATTTATTTATCTATAACTATGTTTTAAATCTAATAAATTCGACCAAAATGTTGTTCTATCACTTTTGATTTATAAACCGATTATTTCAAGCTTCAAATTATATCACATTTAGTCTTCATCATTTAGATGGAAATTTTGATTTAAAATATTTTGCCCTAGCAACTAGAACGTGACTCAAAAGCATAGCGGGGAAACAATATTATCTGAGAGATAGTATTGAAGTGGAGTTCCATAAAAGCCAAAATAATACAAATGGTAACTGATGCTGGGGCCAATGTCAAAAGAAGCGTCAGATTAGGGAATTATGAGTATCATTTATGCTTAGGGCATGGACTTCATAATTTGGTTACAGTTGATGGCATAAAAAAGTTACCAAAATTGATATTCTCATTAAAAATATTAGAAAAATTATTTCAGCCCTTAGATATTGAGTAGATTTGGAATGTGAAATTAAGGCTGAACTGAACATCGTAAATGTCTGTAGTCAATTTATGAGACAGGTAATATCTTGGATATTAATTATTCTGATCCATACCTTGATGATCATTTTGATATGTCTGATAAATCGGATAATAGAAATGGCATTGCACCAACCAATCTAATTAATTCAAAAAGTTTAAAATAAAATTGCCCTACCCGCTGGCATAGCATATATGTCAGGAAGTGTTCGCAGTGTAAACAAAATTCTATAAATAATGTTCTAAATAAAATAGGAAAACAATCTTTAAAACTCTTTAATAATGAATGGGATATGGTTGATGAGCTTTACGCAGTATTAAATCCATTCCAAGAGTCGGTGGAATTTCTTTCCTCCTAAAAAGGATCGACAATAAACTTAGGGTTATTATTTCGCAGTGAAATAGAAGCTCATATACAAATCAATAGATCAGATTGCTCAGATATTATATGCTTAAAAGAAAATATGGGAAAAAAAAGCTTGACCATAGGTTTCCCATTACTGAACTTCAAGTTATTTTATATTTTTATTAATAAAATTATATTTTAAATATTATATATTAGCAACTCTACTTGATCCCAGATTTCAAAATCTTAAAGTTGTTTCAGAATATTAAAATTCGAATTCTACGACATCTTTGCAATTTTTAATTCGACATTTAAAACTTTTAGAGCATGATAGAAATGCAGAGAGTGAAATAGTTGAGGATAATGGTCAAACATCAAGCTCTTATATAGCTAAATTAGCTCGTAAACATTCCCTTCCAAGTAAAGATTATAACAATATTAATAATCTAGAACAAGAATGCCATATTTTGCTCAGCCAAAATAATATCCCAGAAGAGGACACATTAATCTTTTGGAAGAAAAAGCGACTGAAACTTCCAATGCTTGCTTAGCTAGGAAAGTTCATTGTATACGTGTACAGCAAAAGATCCATTGCTGAATACTCAATGCTAAAAACTTCATGTCCCACAAATCTTGATAAAATACTGTTTATTCATGACAATTATAATTTTGCTAAATATGAATTCAGACTTATTATATTTCATACTTTATATTTTGCTTGCATTCCAAATTTATTTTGCTTGCATTTCAAATTTATTTTAATTATAATAAAAATCAATAGAATATTTCTTATATGTGTTGGAAGTGACTCTGATCTGAGTAAAAATGCAATTCCTTAGTCTATTTCTGAGAATGAGAAAATACATAAATTTAAATTGGAATGAGACAGGAAATAATTTAAGATCAATTAACTATGTTAACAATTTATTAGAAAGATCGCCCAAATAAATTATAAAAAATGTAATACATTAATTTATAAATTAAATTCATTAAAAAAATTTAAAAATAAATATTGCGCCGCCGCCGATAATACGGCGGCAAAATTGGCGCGCCGCCGAACGCCGATAAAAAAATTTAAAAAAACCGCCGCCGCTGATTGAGACATCGGCGCACAGGTCTAGTCAGGATTAACAAAACTAGTTAGTTATATCGCGTAAAGTTCATTAGCTCTTTCTTACCATTAGGGTCTGTGCTAAAGAATCAGAAAAAAATCATTTAAGTCGAACTCGTTGATTTTAAAATATAAATGTTTTGCTCAAATAAAAATATATAAGCGTGCCTAGATTCTGACGTGATAATTTACGTAATTTTTTTTTATAGCACTTTTAAGTTTGTCTAGATATCATAATACCATAAAACACTAAAGGTTAAAAAACATTCTTTCTTTTAAATGAAAAATATTTCATATATATAATCGACAAAATTTTAATACTTTTTATTCCATTTTATCACCATGAAATAATATAAAACATCTTAAAAATATTAAAAAAAATATATAACACGAATTTAAAAAGTAAAAACAAGACATGAATTCCTTGATTGCATTTTCAAATTAGAGCCGTAATTAAATTTATTCTATTTGTTTTTTTTGTCGTAGGGAAAATAAAAAATTATCTCATATCGAATTATAGATTAATTTCGAAAAGCTCAATCTATCATTTATATATCATAATATTTGCGTAATAATTAGGCTAGCGCTAAAGGTGGCCGATTGGAAAATTGCCACACTCAAAAAAAAGATTTTAACAAAATCTGCCTTTAGAAAAATTAATCAGGTGAGTTCAATCTTTTAAACAAAATTGATATGTGATATAGAGAGATAGATTATACTGAAGGGGAACTCGCATTTAAAAATCGAATTCGTTCCTAAAAAAAGGGACATAAACCTAAACGGAAACGAGCCACCATATGATATGATGCAAGGCATACGTCGTTTATAATATGGGAATCTTTACCTACCAGTTATGGTTTAACACAGGCTTAATAAGTAGGCGTACAATAGTTTTGATAAATTATAATTTTTTTAAAAAAATTTGAATAATTGATATCACATTTATTCTATTATTGTATAATTTAAATAAATAAATATTTAAAAATATAAAATTCAATGCAAACATTTCAGAGGAAAAATATTGTCGAATTTTTGGCGCGATCAGGGCCCTCTTCCGTGTACCGGCGCTTATCCAACTTAACAGACGCGTAAAACTCAGGAAATATGATGGGTAGGAGCGCGCCCCCTCCCCAGGCATAAGTTATAGGATCCTTGGGGACGTATAATGAAACATCCTTATCGAACGCCGTCAAGGTTCTCAACTCTCTAATGAGCCGTATGTCCAAGCCAGGGAACATGGTATTTCCCCCGGTCAATATAACGTGATCAAGGTAGCCCTGATCGTCAGCCACAGATTCTAACATGAGTTCAGGCAGTCCCATTTGAGATATGCCTATGTCGGAGGGATTAAAAATTATTTCCGGAACCGTTATTCGTTCGTTGCTAAGGTAGAGGGTTTGAAAGTAATCGTCATCATTGACACTTTTATCCGATTGACCGTTCCTACTCTCCTCGTTATTATTCCTCGATGAGTTGATATTTCCCTTGAAAACATTTCCACTATTTGGGGTGAGCGCGGGATTCGCCATAACGCTTCCTTTCCCAGACGAATGAGCAGGAGAGCGTGGCTTGATGTAACCTTTTTTGATACGTTGAAAATCGGGGAGCACGTACTCACGAAACAATGGATTTTTTGGTAAATTGCCTAAATGATAGGATTAGTGTTGCGTAATCGGCTAAAAACTACGCCTAAGCCTAATTAGGTTAAGCCTAAAAATCGGCTAAAATTAAATTAGTCAAAATTCTGCATCGATGCTTATTTAGCAATAATTATTATTTATTTATTTTAATAAAATAATTTATTTTATTTATATTTAATGTAAAATTATTATCAACAAATAAACATGATATGATTTAATATTTTTTATTTATATTATTATATTTTGAAAGAAAATAAATTTATGATGTTTTTATAATAAAAAAAAATAATATGCTGCTATATTGTAAAAATGTAATATTCTTTTTAATATAATTTATTAGTGATTTTCACAATCTTCTTTGTAAATACATCTTTTATTGAGGAATTATATTGTAAATTTTATAAGATAAATAAACAATCTTTTAGTGAAATATAATTTTTTTTTATCATTTTTTTAAAATTATCTATTTTTTATTAAATGAGGTGGATTTAATGAAACTTTTTTGATGTTATTTTATATGATCTTTTTAAGGTTAATATTTTAATGTGACAATTGTCATAATCGTTATTTTATAATTATGAATTTTTTTGAAGAAAATATGTTAAAATAAGTATTAATATATGTTTAAATAAAAATTTAGTAAAGATGTACCAATGAAAAGTGACAATTGTCACAATCGTTATTTTATAAGTTTTTTGAATTTTTTTGAGTATTGATAACATGTGTAAATATAAATTTAGTGAAGATGTACCATAGAAAAGTAACAATTGTCATAATCGTTATTTTATAAGTTTTTTGAATTTGTTAAAATAAGTATTAATAAGATGTTTAAGATAAAAATTTAGTGAAGATGTACCAATGAATAGTGACAATTGTCATAATCGTTATTTTATAAGTTTTTTGAATTTTTTGAAGAAAATATGTTTAATAAGTATTGATAACATGTGTAAATATAAATTTAGAGAAGATGTACCATAGAAAAGTGACAATTGTCATAATAGTTATTTTTAAAGTTTTGAATTTTTTGAAGAAAATATGTTAAAATAATTATTAATAACATGTGTAAAAATAAATTTAGTGAAGATGTACCGTAGAAAAGTGACAATTGTCATAATGGTTATTTTTAAAGTTTTTTGAAGAAAATATGTTAAAATAAGTATTGATAACATGTTTAAATAAAAATTTAGTGAAGATGTACCATAGAAAAGTGTGAAGATATAGAAAAGTGACAATTGTCATAATCGTTATTTTTAAAGATTTTTAAATTTTTTTGACGCCAATATGTTAAAATAAATATTAATAACACGTGTAAATATAAATTTAGTGAAGATGTACCAATGAAAAGTGACAATTGTCATAATCGTTATTTTTTAAAATTTTTTGAAGAAAATATGTTTAATAAGTATTGATAACATGTGTAAATATAAATTTAGTGAAGATGTACCATAGAAAAGTGACAATTGTCATAATCGTTATTTTTAAAGTTTTTGGAATTTTTTTGACGACAATATGTTAAAATAAGTATTGATAACATTTTTAAATAAAAATTTAGTGAAGATGTATCATAGAAAAGTGACAATTGTCATAATCGTTATTTTTAAAGTTTTTTGATTTTTGTTGACGAAAATATGTTAAAATGAGTAATAATAACATGTTTAAATAAAAATTTAGTGAAGATGTACCATAGAAAAGTGACAATTGTCATAATCGTTATTTTTTAAGTTTTTAAAATTTCTTTGATGTAAATGGGTAAAAATATAGATTGTAAAATTAAAATTGCCTGAGTATGTGCCATAGAAAAGACATATGGTAATAATTATATTTTTCCCCAAAAACAGGAACAAATTGGAATTTCATTACATCCGTTCATCGGGTCAGAAATTAATATGCAAAATTTATATCATAATATCTAATCATAAGTTAGAAATTATTATTTTTTTGCCAATTTTCATCAGACAATCTTGTTTAAAATTTGGGTAAACTTTTTTTCTTATTTTAAAATCAATATCGATGCAAATCAATTGTTAAAAATTTTGGTGCTATAATTAAATTTCCTACAATCAAATAGAAGTTTTTTTTCTAATACAATATTTTTTATATAAATAATAATCAACCTTATTTTTATATTACCTATTTATTTCTTCATAAATATATTATGTTAAACATTATATACATTATCGAATATAATCTTATTAAATTATTCATTTTGCAAATATCTTATTATTATATTTTATACTTATAAATTAACAACATAAGATTTTCTAAATGTCACCATGAGGCATAGATAGAAATATGTATTAATCAAAGACAAAAGAATAATTTTAAAAAAAGCATGAAACAAAAATAATCATTTGCATAAAAGATCAATATATTGATGAAAATACTGAAGACAGTTTATTAATTCTTTATTAATTTATATAATATGTATAATGTATATTATATACGGTGATAAATAAATGAAATATAATTGATATATTTGAATAAAATAGTCACAAATATCTAGTGAATAAAAAAAAAGATATATTCAATTTTGAGCAAAATATTTTATTATAAAAAAAAAGTTTAAAATATAAATTTGCAACTTAGACAATATTGAAATATTTATTCCCCCAACTCCCACATGTCAGTAATTATCTTTTCCCAAGCATTAAGACACAGACACCATCTGAGTGTATTAGGAGCCAATCTATTTCTTTTTTTTCGTCGCTGTATCGCCGGCACGCGAAAAAACACGCTCACTAGGCACAGAAGAAGCTTGAGCCCTTAAATAATCAATAGCCATAGATGACAGTCTAAAATAAATATATGCATAATTTTTAAGATATTTTCGATACCTAGGAAATCTACAAGAATTAATCTTCCAATAATCTAAAATAATTGCATACCCTTTCAAAGGCGGTTCCGAAAGATATAACGCTATCTCATCGGAAGTGTGCTCTATTGCCGATGTTCTAAAATAAATATGAGAAAAAATCAATCATAAAAATATTAATTTTTAATACGTTCGCCGACTTTTTAAAACTGTTTCGGTGAAGCATATTGGTCTATCTTTTTCCAAAGATTCTCTGTTAATTTGATTTATTTGAGGATAAAAAGCCTCATAATGTTGTCTAAATCTAATATGATATGGATAAAATATATAAAAATAATGTTTAAACCTGTCATGATAATCTTCATATTTTAAAAAGGAAGGCAACGCCTCTATTTCTATTCTTGGATCGAGAATTGTACATATGTACATAGGTAAATTATCAAATTTTTTAATATATTTGTTACATTTTTCGTTCATGCTTTTAATAGCCTCTAATATACAAGATGAATTATTCAATTAAAATTTGGTCAAGATCCACCGCCAAGGAAAAACTCCGAAAAATATTTGATGCATGCCAATATAAAATAATAAATTATTTCCAAGATTTATAAAAAGATATATCTCTTACTACTGATCTATGGTCTGGACTGAATGGCATATCGTACTGCGCGATCACTGCCTATTTTATCAGGCACTATAAAATGATAAATATTTTACTCGATATCGTGCGTTTTCCACATCCCCATAAAGCCACTGATGCGGCTGATTTAATATGGGAGTCCCTAAAAAATTATAATTTATTTGATAAAGTGTTATTCATAACACACGATAATGCCGCTAATATATTGGCGGCTTTAAAAATTTTGAAATCACAGAAAAAAAAGACATCTGACTAAAACCTTTAAATAATATGAGATGCCTGGCTCATATTATCAATCTAATAGTTTCTAAAGGCATTAAAAAGATGTCAACAAAGTTAACAAAAATAGGAAAAATCGTTACAAAATTACATCGCTCGGATAAAATTCTCAATGAATCCCGACTAAAGACGCGCAAAAATGTGACTATTCCTTTACCATGCCCAACTAGTTGGAATAGCACATTTCTTATGCTCCAAAAAGCCAACGAAATACATAATATTTACCATTAAAATTGAAATTACATTATTTATTAGACATTAGAATTTAATGTTTAATTTAATCTTATATATTTTCTCAAAATAAATTAAAATATTTTTGAATAACTTATGTGTTCACTTATTAATATATTTTTTATTTGAATAGACGCGCTGTGCAGCACGATTGTATATAGATGATTGTGATATGGATGCTGAGGATGTAAAAATTTTGAAACAAATAGAAAGTTTTCTATCACATTTCTATCTTCTGACGAAGGAGGTATTTTAGTCATAAATTTTTTTAAAATGAATAATAAAAGGTAAGTTCTGAAAAAATGCCAACAATTGGCATTAGTATGGTATATTTGGACAGTATATTGCAATACTTGCTACATTATGAAGCTTACGCCTTTACCATCTTGTATATTAGAGGCTATTAAAAGCATGAACGAAAAATGTAACAAATATATTAAAAAATTTGATAATTTACCTATGTACATATGTACAATTCTCGATCCTAGAATAAAAATAGAGGCGTTGCCTTCCTTTTTAAAATATGAAGAGTATCATGGCAGGTTTAAACATTATTTTTATATATTTTATCCATATCATATCAGATTTAGACAACATTATGAGGCTTTTTATCCTCAAATAAATCAAGTTAACGGAGAATCTTTGGAAAAAGATAGACCAATATGTTCCAATATGTTTCACCGAAACAGTTTTACAAAGTCGGCGAACGTATTAAAAATTTATATTTTTATGATTGATTTTTCCTCATATTTATTTTAGAACATCGACAATAGAGCACACTTCCGATGAGATAGTGTTATATCTGTCGGAACCGCCTTTGAAAGAGTTTATTTTAGATTATTGGAAGATTAATTCTGGTAGATTTCCTAGGTAAAATGTATTAAAATATTATTAATTTTTACCAACTTTAATCAAAATCGAAAATATCTTAAAAATTTAATTCAATTATGCATATATTTATTTTAGACTGTCATCTATGGCGATTAATTATTTAGGTGCTCAAGCTTCTTCTGTGCCTAGTGAGCGTGTTTTTTCGCGTGCCGGCGATACAGCGACGAAAAAAAGAAATAGATTGGCTCCTAATACACTCAGATGGTGTCTGTGTCTTAATGCTTGGGAAAAGATAATTACTGACATGTGGGAGTTGGGGGAATAAATATTTCAATATTGTCTAAGTTGCAAATTTATATTTTAAACTTTTTTTTTTATAATAAAATACTTTGCTCAAAATTGAATATAACTTTTTTTTTATTCACTAGATATTTGTGATTATTTTATTCAAATATATTTCATTTATTTATCATCGTATATAATATACATTATAGATATTATATAAATTAATAAAGAATTAATAAACTATCTGCAGAATTTTCATCAATATATTGATCTTTTATGCAAATGACTATTTTTATTTCATGCTTTTTTTTAAAATTTAAATTATTCTTTTGTCTTTGATTAATACATATTTCTATCTATGCCTCATGGTGACATTTAGAAAATCTAAAATTTTATGTTGTTAATTTTTAAGTATAAAATATAATAATAAGATATTTGCAAAATGAATAATTTTATTAGATTATATTTGATAATGAATATAATGTTTAACATAATATATTTATGAAGAAATAAATAGGTAATATAAAAATAAGGTTGATTATCATCTTCACTAAATTTATATTTACACATGTTATCAATACTTATTTAACATATTTTCTTCAAAAAAATTCAAAAATCTTTAAAAATACCGATTATGACAATTGTCACTTTTCATTGGTACATCTTCACTAAATTTTTATTTAAACATGTTTTTAATACTTATTTTAACATATTTTCTTCAAAAAAATTCAAAAAACTTATCAAATAACGATTACGACAATTGTCACTTTTCTATGGTACATCTTCACTAAATTTTTATTTAAACATCTTATTAATACTTATTTTAACATATTTTCTTCAGAAAAATTCAAAAAACTTATAAAACACATGCTATCAATACTCAAAAAAATTCAAAAAACTTATAAAATAACGATTGTGACAATTGTCACTTTTCTTTGGTACATCTTTACTAAATTTTTATTTAAACATCTATTATAATACTTATTTTAACATATTTTCTTCAAAAAAATTCATAATTATAAAATAAGGATTATGACAATTGTCACATTAAAATATTAACCTTAAAAAGATCATATAAAATAACATCAAAAAAGTTTCATAAAATCCACCTCATTTAATAAAAAATAGATAATTTAAAAAAAATTATATTTCACTAAAAGATTGTTTATTTATCTTATAAAATTTACAATATAATTCCTCAATAAAAGATGTATTTACAAAGAAGATTGTGAAAATCACTAATAAATTATATTAAAAAGAATATTACATTTTTACAATATAGCAGCATATTATTTTTTTTTATTATAAAAACATCAAATAAATAAATTTATTTTCATTTCAAAATATAATAATATAAATAAAAAATATTAAATCATATCATGTTTATTTGTTGATAATAATAAAATATTTACATTAAATATAAATAAAATAAATTATTTTACTAAAATAAATAAATAATAATTAATCAGAATTTTGACTAATTTAATTTTAGCCGATTTTTAGGCTTAACCTAATTAAGCATAGCCGATTTTTTCACCTAAAATCTCGGCTAAGCTGTTTTGTAGTCGGCTAAAATTAGCTGATTACGCAACACTAGATAGGATTAATGAATATTGAAAAAAAAATATGTAATCAGCTCACCCAATAATTTATTTTTATCTATTCCTCCCTTCAGAACCTAAAATAATTTTAATCGTCTGATTTTCTAACAAATACCTTTGGTTGAAATTAAATTAGGTTTAAAATATTATCATCAGGCGATTTCAACTTATGATACATCACCGATGTTTCTCATTTTTTAAATATGTTTTAATCCTTACCTTTAAGAAGAGAAAATAATTTTGGAGGCAACCAATGACATATATATACCTAGAGTGGCAATCCTTTCATCTAAATGCTTACCAATACAAATCAGCTGGTTGTTAGCCATATTGGTTTCACCATATAAACAATTTACAATAAAAAAAATTTGTAACTTATCTTTTTCTTAAAAATCAAAGTTTTATATATAATAATTTAAAAAATTATATGGTAAAACAAAATGGCGTGTCACCAGCTGATTTGTATTCAATGACGGTTCAAAATAAATTTTAATAAATGGAAGGATCGTCAGCTAAGATAAGTATTATATTTTATATCATCGCAAGCAATAGGGAAAATTCAAACTTTAGAGAGCTCTCCTACACATAAAAATAAATTTATTACCATATTTTTGACACGCCTCCATATCCTTGAGGAATTCTTGCGAGACGTAACAGGAGTCTTCCTTGACCTGATTTATGACGTAGGACTCTTCCATCACGTGCAGCTGTCGGTAGGATATGATTTCCTTGAGGTAATTCGTCAAAAGCTTGCCTCCAACGTCTAATCGTCTGAGCCTGGTGTCATCTCTCGCTATAGAAAACTTACCGACGGAGGAATCATCGATATTCGTGTCGTAATGACTGACGTGAGTGAATGAAAACCCTGAATCCACGACTAAACATTTATTATGATTATGAGATTCGGTTTTATGGCGCCGCTTAATCAAGCTAGATTCGTAACTATAACGCAGGGCCGAGAGAGTTGACGGGGTTATTTGAAGCACAGACCCAAACCCGTATTCTTCGAAAAATATTTCGTTCATGGAATCGGTTATGAAAGGGAAATTCAAGGGAGGGACCGTCACCACTAATTCGGTATCAGGCCCCATGGGCGAGCTTTTCAGATCATATTTGTCGCGTAAAACAAAATTGAACAACCGATCCCACACCTGTCTTTGCAGCTCCCAGCCGACTAGGTAACCCCTTTTTGAGCAATATCATTATTTTTTTGAAATTGTTGATTAAATGTTATAATAAGTAATATATATTTTTTATATTCCGAAGAAAAAATATTTAATATTTTAGGGTAAATTTTATTTTTTTTCTAGGCAGTTGAAAGTAACGATGCAAAATCGCTCCATTTGAGCCAATTTTTTAAAAATGGCAAAATCAATATTTTAATCAGAAAAATATTGTAAGCCTCGAGATTTAGCTAGTTTCAAACCCTTGTTTCATCGATGCACAAAATTTTGAGATCTGCCTAATATTTTTCTGAAATACTGAGTTAGCCGTCGTCTTTAAAAATCAGGCTCCAATGGAGCGACTTTTCTTAAGCGAGATCTAATTTTTGTAATTGTTAATATTAATTTTTAAAAACCCCAATTTATTTTTAAAAAAATAATAATTAAAAACCTAAACAAAAATTGTTTTAGAACTTCCCTATTCCTATTTTAAAAAAATATATCTTCTATCTCCTTGATCATTTTTAAAAAAAACCTTTGAATAGGCCTTTGGTAAAAGAGGGAGGATTTGTCGAAAATTTCGTCTATCTGATCTCCCACGAAGGCTAATCTGCGAGATTCTGATTTCGCTTTCGTAACGCAATTGGGGATAACCGAGGGTCCTTTCAAGTGACCGGAGTTTGTTAAGTCACTCACCGGGTCGGTTTGAATTAGTTTATCGAGTGAATCGTAAGTTGATGAGACCACACCGATTTTCGCGGTAAAGCCTCCGTTATCCAAAATTACTATTTGTTTGTTGTGGCTCATGAGACTATCGAATTTTTTTCTCTACGATAAAATGATCTGTAAAAAAATAAATAATTCTCTCAAAGCGATATAATTTAAGAAAGAAAAGCACTTAGCCTTTTTAGCTAGTTGTTGTTGGGGAAGGGCTGATTCATTGGGACAGATGGGACACAAGATCTGAAGCATCCTAATTCAAAAGTTTGTTTCCAAATATTGATCCAGATTAGGAACAAGAAGGATTTTTAAATACTTTAATGTAATCGTATTCGAAATTTCCATGTTAACGATTCTTGTAATTATGAGAAAAAAATCTATAAAAAAATATATTAACTTCAACATTGAGATGGGGAATACTATAAAAGTATTCAAACAGTAACATTTTTTAAAGATTATCTGAACAATATGGTAAAGTCAAGTAAGCGCTTTTAAAACCTATTTGTCCCAATTTGAAAAATATATATCGAAATTGACATAGTAATAGGCCTTCCCGAAAAGGGTTTAACACTATTGGCGGCTTCAAATCACTACAAAAAATACAACAAACCCCAGTATTTGAATATTGTTGCTAAAGCCGAGGGATAAATAAAAATATGGACAATTTTGAATTTATTAGTACAATAATAATATGGCATAATTAAGATACAAATTTAATTAAAAATTCAAAACAAAACATGAAAAAAATTGATAGCATATCTAATTTTTAAATTGATAAGAAATGATGAATCATTTGAGGAATTGATTAAGGAGATCACTAATTTTGCCGTTGAAATTAATTCTACAAATCTCAACAAATAGAAAAAATAAGAAAAAAGATTGGTTGACTATAAATGTTATGATGACCTGCCTCTGTTAATAATTAAAAAAAAAATATCAAAAGTAGAAGCCCATTTTCATCTCACAGATGGCGAATAATTAAATTGAAGATAGATTTTCAACTTCAAATCATATTTTGAATTTCTTTCTGCAATATTCGAAATTAATGTAAAAATAAGCAGTTAGGAAAAATTAATGATTTCTTATTTAACAGATAACACTAACAGCAAAAAAAATTATTACAAATGATCTCTTGAATATTAGTTATTTTTTAGATGACATTCAAATACACCCATTTAAATTTCATATTAAGAGATTGTAATATATATAGTAATAACTAATTTTATTAGATAATAATTATTAATATAAAATGATGCTCTACAAATGTTATAATATGCAGCATTTTAGAATGTGATATTCAAAAATATTAAATGTCGATACATTACATTTCCACCTTTATTAATTTTTAAATATAATTATTTATCAGATATAAGAATTCGTATTAAAAGGAATAATGTTCTAGATCTAGCAAATTCTTTTTTAAAAATATTAACTTTGTCTTGTATTAAAAGTATAATATTTGATATTATCTTTTGGTCTGGTAGGATTAAGAATATTTTGAATAATAATAATTATTCCAAATACATCTGTGGATCATCTCATTTTAAGTTTGATCCTTTATTTTATTTTTTTAATTTTAGTAACTCCTGAGATTTACTCCCCCCCCCCCAAAAAAAAAAATCTATTAAATACATTATTTGTATTTTTCGTTTTTTTATTTATGATTATTTAATTTGTTATTTTTTTTGTATGTTTATGTTTTTCATTCTTTATTTCCCTTTGCATTTTATAAATTATCATATCAGTTAATTATAATTTTTTGATGTATTTTCAGTTATAAATTTATTTCAATTACTTGCTTTTTATTTTGAATTTATCATCCCATAATTAAATTAAATATTATTTGAATGATAATCATTGATTTCATTCTTGTTCATTTCGATAGATATATTTCTCCATTTTTATTATAACTCAATTTTCATTAGGTTGAATTACATATATATCATAATTTATCTATTTTTCATTTTTACTTTGAAATTTCTGGTATTTTTCATTTCTAACTTTTCCTCATCACCAGTATAGTGTAGAGTAGGCCTATTCAAAAACGAATTTGAATCGAATAGTGCATTATTCATATTCGATTCGTTTAAAAGAATGAATAATTTACTATTCGTATTTGTAAGAATAATAAAATCTACTATTTGTATTCGATTCGAATTATTCAAATAATTGAAATGATTTTCTTAATAAAATATATCATACTCAAATATATTGACTTTTTTTTATTGCAAATTTGATTTCAAACAGAAATTTTTTTTATTATAATCTGATAATAAAAAATATGTAATCAATAATCTGATGATAAAAAATATGTAATCAAGTTATAAACAAAATTAAAAAGTATATTATTAATTTAATTCATAATTCTAAGCAAATTTTTAAGGCAAAGAGTTTTTCTTATATTTTCTTTCTTACATGCAATTTTTTGATAACTAATTATTTCTAACTAAAATTCTTTTACAAGCAGTTGATGTTCCTTGTTTATATAGGCAGTCTCTAGGTGTGAATGAAATCTATTACAATGATTAATAAGAGGGGATGCTGTTTTGCCTTTAGATTTTATAATGCACTTGCAATGATTGCAAGCAGCCTTTCAGCATCTTTATTGATTTGATATTGATCCCATATAATCGCTCTTTTTGGGAGGAAATTTTGTCAACTTCAACATCAAGCAGAACTATTTCATCAGAAGCATTCTCCTCTAACATAATTAGGCTACAAACAATAATTTATTGTAGGGATGTATTATATTTTTTTAATCTTTGGTTTCTAATTATTTAATATAATTTATTATGAGATTCAAAAAATAAACTATTTGTGAGATTCAAAAAATATGGCAAACAGTGATTTTTTAAATTTGTGCTAGTCTTTTATAAACACATCACCTGTTAGATTAAGGTCATCAAAAAGCAATTTATGAAATGTTCCGAATATTTGTTTTATTCAAATCGAATAAATAATTATTCATATTTGGATAAACAAATGATTTATTATTTATGATTATTTGATTCAATTTGAATAGGCCTAATTTAGAGTAATGATGATCTACAAGTTATAATATGTATGATTTTAGAAAGTGATATTCTAAAATATTATATGTCAATACATGATAGAGATCAGTAGGATTAAGGATACTATACCTGTGGCCACAAACGAAAGAGGTTATATTTCTGAATTATAGTATTAAACAAAAGTTATTTAAAATTGTCTACGAGCCAATAGGTGTTTAATGTCATTAGCAAGTTTTGTAGAAAAAAAATAAAATTTAAAAGGTAAAATTAAATTTTCCAAAATTAAAATGTATATATATAGATATTTATATATATATAATAACTGAAATAAAAAAGTAGTGCATTTGTTATTTATTGAATAAGGGTGTTGGCTGATTAATATGTGGTTTTTTATGCTAGTTCTTTATTTATTTAAAATATTTTCACTTAAATTTAGGAAATATTAAACGCTATAATATAAGTTTATTCTGCCCCTAATATTCCAAACATACAAGCATCAGGAATTTTTTTACTAACTCATCATTCATACTATGGATAGTTTAGGTGAAATAGAATTTGCCTGTTTTAACTTTTAATTTAAATAATATTTTTGATATATGTGACTTTTAATTTAAATTTATAAATAACAATGTAATATTAAAATTGTAATTTTTGCCTATATTACAGCTTGCATCCTTATATATTTTTATGAGAATTAAAAATGGTGAATACAAGATAAATTGAAATTTTTAATTAAAAATTTCTGGTGTTAGCAGTAGTGGCCAGGATCAAAATAACTTGTAATTTGTTAATTACATTATATAGGTTCAGGACCATTATTATGATAGGCTTTTATTTCAGTTGTATTAAATTTTAATAAGGTTATAATATAAAATTAACTTAAAATATTTTAATAAAAATAAATCATACCTGATTTGCTAAATGTGCCGATTTAAATTTTTCAAAGAATTTGCCCTATATATTATACAAAGGGTTCTCCGTATAAAAATTAATTTATTTGTTGATAAAAATTCATCTGATAAAAATTTCAAAATTTTAAAAACATGGGTTGAGTAAATGCATTAAGCCTCAATAAAACAAGATGATTGATGGCTTGTTACTAGTGGCAATCATCTAACAGGTACAAATTGCTAAAAATAAAAAGAATCTTTTTGAAGAAAGTCAAGCAAGATTATTGATCCAATTCTCTCAAAAACAAATCTTTTTCTTAAGAAATCTTTAATGAGTAAATTTTTTATGATTGCATCTATATAAAAAATCACATGATGAAATTATAATTTTATTTTTTTTAAAAAAAATCTTCAATATTACGTAAGCCTAGAACTAGATATTTGTTCAATGGCAGAAACAATTGGACATCTTTTAAAGAAATATCGTGGTTTGCATAATGGTATTTTAGGTAAAATAATTTAAGATTGGTCAATAAGCCCTTTAACAAGACTATGACGAAAATGAAACCAATGAAAATAATTTTTATAGCTTTTATATACTTTTCAGTATAATTGCATTTCCTCTAATTTTAAAAAAATCATGATTTATAATTATGCATCAAATAAAACAAATTACTTTTGTTATTATAACATGATCAAGAAAGATATAAAACGCCATCTAGCGTACATAAGTCTTTATTATAGCTTTTGTTAAATTAAAAAATTTAAAATGAAATTTTATATTATAAAAGTGATGAGGTTAAAATATTTTTATAAATTTATTTTTATATCTGTCCAAATATTAATGTTAATTTGAAAATATAATTTATTTTCAATTATTTTAAAGAAAATAAACATTAAAATATGTTTAAATATATAGTAAAGAAATATTACCTAATTCCAAACCAATTTTTTATACTAAAAATTTTAAACATTGAGTGCATTTTCTTTGATTTTTAGAAGTTATTTGAAAATTTTTTTTACTTTCTTTCTATATCTGAAAATCAGATTTGAGAATCTACATATAAAAATGTGGTATCCTAGAATTTTTTAAAAGAGTCCTGCAGAGGTACCTAGCAGCCCTTATTTTTTAATTTTTTCGGCCCGGCTATGGTTTTTTAAAAAAAATCTTTAAGCGGCCCGGATTTTTAAAATATTTTTGATTTTTATAGCTAATAAAGGCGATTTCAAATATTATCTTTTTAAAATATAAAGTCCGGTCCGGATATTTTTTTAAAAAAATTTTCCCCAGCTCGGATAAATTAAAAAAAAAATTAAAATACGGCCAGGTTGGGCAGGACTTAAAGCCGGGTCTGCAGGTCTCTGATCTAGGTATTATTTTAGAGGAATCTTTTTTTCTTTTAGATACTCTAAGATACATTTAGATATACTTCCAGAGATCCAAATCGAATATTCTAACCTACATTCTATTTATGATAAATTTTTTTATTATTAAAATAATAAACACTTACATAAAACATTCATTTCTATTAATTGCACATTATAAAATAATATTTAATTTATTAATGTATAACAAATAAATATCAATGATTTATTATAATATAACAATATTTAACTTTATTTGCTTAAGAATTTTTATTAAGCCACACAATGAATATATTTTCAAGATTTGTCTCACTCAAATTACATTTATAAGGAGAGTATAGAAAAACATCTTTACACACAAATAGGTAGCCGACACTGCCAGTATGATATCAGACAATTTTTATTTGTTCTTCATTATTTTCAGACAATTAATTGTCTTCATCACTATCCTTCATAAATAATTTTACCATCTTAATAAGATTTGCCGATCTAGAAGGTAAATTTCTGGCAAAAATTTTTTGGGCATTCCCAAGAATAAAATCTTCATCATTTTTACAAGATGATTGAATGCAGATGGACGTAAAGTACATTGTTTTTTAGAATGAATTTAATTTAATATCGTAAATAAATAACCTATATGAACATGGATGTTGTCGATTTCCTGTATATTTAAATGGTCCCATCTTTTTTTTTGTAGAAAAATATTCCAGCCGATACTTAAAAAAATTGAAAGATTTATCCAAAAAAAAAATATTAATAAAGAAAAATGACGTTATGGAATTTCGATTTTTCAACTCCCGAATTTCACCACAAAATAATTTATTTAACATGAAGATCTTGAAGAATTGATTTTGAAAAATTTTTAGTGCAGAGACCAGACCGTTTCCGCTGCATTCTGGTATTTCTCCCGAACACAATTCAAGTATGGTCCCGTTCCTGATACTGCAGTGCGCTACTATACATTATAAGATCTTCGTTTTAAAAATGGGGATATTTAAGTTATAGAGCACCAAGACATTTTTGTTTATTTTTTTTTAAAATACGCTAAAAATTAAAACAAATATTTTATTTTTTTTAGGAAAATTAAAGAATTTGATGCTAGTCTGACAATTATATTTTTGGTAGAATATGTGAATTATCTTGATGATCGACAATTAATTGATAAAGTTCCCTAAAAATTAATGTAACTATAGATATATCGTTTTATGAAAAATATATTAAATATTTTATTTGTTTAAGAATATACAGTGGAATGCAATAACAGGACTATTTTATTGCTTTGCCAGAATTAGTGAAATAATCATTTAAATTTTTACTATTTTTTTAAAAATAAATATTTGATAAATATCCACAATTAGTAAAAGAAAACATTCAGCCTATAAATTAACCTTATTTATAACCCGACAGGAGGTCGGGTAAAAGAAGATTTGGAGAAGACAGGCATCCGGAGTGAACCAGAATGAACCGCTAAACCATTAAAACCTTTATAAATATCTGAACCGGAGCGAACCGATGTAATTATTTTTGAAGGAGTAAAAAGAATCTTTTACAAAAAATAGTTAAACGGTTTGAACCGGTTTCAGCCAAAATAAAATAAATAATTTTACCATTTTGTTACATTCTGTTCCTTGTGGTGTATTACATATTTTACCATATCAAATTCGTTATTTATAATTATTAAATAATCAAAACATTTGCTTAATTATCCATAAGAACAAGAAGTATGTATTAATTTTTCAATATGACTTAAATTGATCCACAACTTCATATAGTATTAGAGCATTCTTAATTTCATTATTTTAGTATACAAAATATCTATTGGCGTACGCAGCGGGGGGGGGGGTCAAAAAATTTAGATGCCCGATATATTTTCCAAAAATATTATTGTTTATATTAATTTATATTTGTTAATAATTATTCGTATCTCATATTAAATATATATTTTATTACATTTATTATCACATTCATTTATCAATTAATTTCGATTTCAAGTTTTCCGGCGTAATATTTACTTATTATTTTCAAATTTTTAGTGGCGTAATATTTTACCATTTTCAAATTTCTAGTCAAATAATAATTATTTCTGAAACTTCTGGTTCAACAGGGAAAAAGAAATTTCAACCTTGTCCAACGAGATAGAGCCTCTTACATCAAGCACTAACAGCTATTAAGGAGTTAGAAGAGCCAATTATTTGCTATTACTGAAATATTACAATCGCCTGAAAGAAATATTTCCTCAGAAGCAAGAAATTTCTATTCCAAATTTTATTTCTCACTAGAATGTATTATTTAATTATACAACTATTTAAGTATTACTTTTCAAAAACATGACATTGATTTGATTAAGAAGATGAGAATAGCGGAGAACATTTGATCAGAACTCAAGGAAATTAGGGCTAATGTTGATGAAGAATTTCATATTTTATATTTTATTGTTGAGTCAAAAGCAGAGCTATACGTGTTTAATATTTGCCTCCCTGGACTTGTAGCAAGGCAAGCTCATCGTAGGATCAGTAGAAGAGTATATTTTAGAAGCAGATACATTTATAACCCAAATAAATAAATTTTTAATATATCATGCAGCACTTACATCTGCAAATATTACTTCCACAAAAGCCTTCCCAACCTTTTTCAGATGGTGATAGAAAAAAATAAATATTTGTTAGATTTTTATTATGAAGATGTTAAAGTATCTTATGATGCCTTACTAGCCGAATAACTATGTTTATAAGATTAACTATAGTTGATATAGTCCCAAAAAATGCTATGGATGCTCTGCATTATTTCAAACACATTTTAGATTAAAATCCCAATGTATTAAAAGGGTTTATAAACTCTTCCAATTAGTAAACTAATGAGGGAACACTCTCTTTTTTAAGAAGAATAACCGAGGCCTGTAGAAGTACCATTTGCAGGGCACGGCCCGGATTTTTTTAAAGATTTTCTACGCTTTTTTTAAAAAAATTTTTAGGCCGCTCGGCTTTTTTTTAAAAATTTACACGCTCGGCCCGGCTTTTTTTAAAATAAAATTTTTAGGCCCGGCCCGGATTTTTTAAAAATAAATTATATTTATTTTTGATTTTTATAGCTAATAAGAACGATTTCAAATATATGCTGTTTTAAAAAATACAGCCCGGCTTGGGTGTTTTTTTAAAAAAATTCAGGTCCGGCCGGGGTGTTTTTTTAAAAAAATGATAGGCATTTGACGACAAGCAAGGATGAGATAATTGAAAAATTAGCTCAATTCCAACGAAGATTGGATTTTACATTGTAAATATATAACATACAAAACACAATGATTCCTAAAAAACTTTTTGTGTAAAGGCTCAAAAAATTCAAATTTCTATTTTGGGTCATTTAAGTGATTCTTTACATAAAATTTTTTTATAATTCACATTAATTTAAAATTGTGTATTAGGACTAGTTATTAGTCCTAATAAATTTATGCCTGATATTTTTAAAAAACAATAATATTTCTCAAAAAAATTTATTACCCCCCCCCACAGACCAAATTCCTTCGTACGCGCCTGAAAATATCTTAATAGCTAATTTTTGATTTAGTTGTAATAAATTTATCTAAAAAAAATTATCAGTTTTTATATATTGGGAATCAAAGAAATTTGGATATCCAAATTCCCGCAACACATGTTTCTGTTAAAAGGGCCTTTTCAGGAATAAAATTTGTATTATATAGCCACAACGAACAATATTACTTATACGTTCTCAGATAATATATTTAGAAATGTGATTACTA